TGATGCACGATCCGAGTCTCCCTCAGCGGTTCTCCAGGTTCTTGGCGCCAACACGAGCCCCGGGCTCCGTCCCCTGCTGGAACTATTCAGACGCGCAAGACACGTAACCAGCAGTCCTCCGCCCCGTTAAATAGTCCTGCCTAGGATGCCTCGGTGACGCACTTTTCCACCTCAGAAGTCCCTCAGCAGATATGCTATGAGCCTCGGAGGTGCATCATCTTTCTGTTCAAATGGGAGTATGGGTTTTCTGATCATTTTCCCTTCACAGATTCCTCCGCCAGAAATCTTACTCGCGGCGTCTTCATTTCCGGGTCCGCCATTTCCTTGCCTCTGTTTCTCCACGAGGGGGGGTTAAAGGCCCCCAAAACATGCACACATGAAAAGGGCAAAAAGTAACCGTCCTTGACAGGCAGTCTTAACTAGAGAAGGAAACGGGACTAAACTGGCGGGCTCCGTGGAAGCGCGGCCGGCAGCGTCCCGGACGAGGAGGTGAGGGGAAAGAAGAGATGTGTGGACTCCGGGGGGCGTCAGGGCTGGAAAGGAAAGTGCCGTGAGAAGTCACACCGCTTCCCAGCCCAGCCTCGGACTTCTGGGTGCGGACAGCGCGGCTCCCCGTCACCGAAGCGGGGGCAGCTGGGGGAGGGGGACGGAGAGGAAGGGGATGCTGTCGGGAGGAAGGGGAGGGGATTGGAAGGAGGTGAAGAAGGGGGTGGGTGTAAGACCTGGGGCTGGGGAGCTGGACCAAGGGAAGCCCAGGCCGCGGAGGTGACCACTAGGGGGCGAGGCGGAGCCGGAGCCGAGGCCTGTCGCCAGAGGCTGAGTTTGGCTCCCTGCCCCAAATTGGTTCCCATCTTTCAGACAGACATTGGTGTGAGGAACTGTAGGGTTTATGATAGAGAGGGAAACGGCGACCCTCATTCTCTGACCCTAATAATGACCTGAAAGATAACTAGTGAACTCGGTCATCTGAACGAGAGCAGTATGAGTCCCGCCTCTGCTTTTTTGCTTTTTTTTAAGACTGAGTCTCGCTCTGTCACCTAGGCTAGAGTGAGTGGCGCGATCTCGGCTTACTGCAACCTCCAGCTCACTGCAGCCTCCGCCTCCCGGGTTCAAGCGATTCTCCTGCCTCAGCCTCCCGAGTAGCTGGGATTACAGGCGTGTGCCACCGTGCACAGCTAATTTTTGTATATTTTTAATAGAGACAGGGTTTCACCATGTTAGCCAGGCTGGTCTCGAACCCCTCACCTTAGGTGATCCGCCCACCTTGGCCTTCCAAAGTGCTGGGATTACAGGCGTGAGCCACGCTCCCGGCCTCGACTCCGCTTCTTTCACAGTTGTTTGTACAGCTGGCCTCCCAGTGGGGACTTGAGCAATACTAAAAGAAACATAGATTCTTCCATTGCAATTCTCCTTTCCGTTGGCTGTCTCCTGTTCTCACGTACTTCCTTGACAGAGGTCATCCCATTCCTCTCCCTTTCCCCGAAAGGGCTTTCTCTCTAGAGGGTCCCCCCACCCCATTGTCTTTGGAAAAGGACAATCTATGGCTTACTATCAACAATGTAACAAAATTTTGGCCATCCATTCATTTAATCACTTGGTCCACTCAATCCAGTAGAGATGTTCTTAGACATGTATTTTCACACCTGCTTTGATGACAGTAAGGACAAAAAACCCATCCAAATTCTTAAATAAACAAAAGTAATTAATTACTCTTGGATAATAGAATACTTTGTTGTCAAGAGCTCAAGCACTTCATGAATTATTAAAACACACACTTATTGAAAGGTTTTGGCCGGGCGCAGTGGCTCACGCCTGTAATCCCAGCATTTTGGGAAGCTGATGTGGGAGGATCCCTTGAGCCCTGGAGTTCTAGACCAGCCTGGGCAAAATAGGGAGACCCCTGTCTGTGCAGACAAAAAAAGAAAAAAAAAAATTTTAATCATTTGGGCGTCGTAGTGCCCACTGGTGGTTCCAGCTACTCGGGAAGCCGAGGTGGGAGGATCGCTTGAGCCCAGGAGGTCGAGGCTGCAGTGAGCCGTGATTGCGCCACTGCACTCCAGCCTGGACCACAGAGTGAGGCCCTGTCTCTTTAAAAAACAAACAGGCTGGGCGTGGAGGCTCTCGTCTGTAATCCCAACACTTTGGGAGGCCGAGGAGGGTGGATCACCTGAGGTCAGGAGTTTGAGACCAGCCTGGCTAACATGGTGAAACCCCATTTCTACTAAAAATACTAAAAATTAGCAGAGTGTGGTGGCACACGCCTGTAATCCCAGCTACCCAGGAGGCTGAGGCAAGAGAATGGCTTGAACCCGGCAGGCGGAGGTTGCAGTGAGCCGAGATCATACCGTTGTACTCCAGCTTGGGCAACAAGAGCAAAACTCCATCTCAAACAAACAAACAAACATACTTTATCCAATCCCCTATTGATATATATTTAGGTTCTTTTCAATCTTTTTATTTATTTTTATTTTTAGAGACAGGGTCTTGCTCAGTACTTTATTCCATCCCCTACTGACATATATAGGTTCTTTTCCATCTTTTTTTAT